GGTAGCACCTGCCCATGCGTCTCCCGCTCTCAGAACGTCCCAACAACGGCAGTGTTAGTAATCAAGCAAACCAGCGAAAGCAACGCAGGGAACCTCAGCCATCGGCAGTATTGAACACTGTTAAAATCCGGGGAAAATGTTCAATTCGGCGTCTGAGCTAACGGCGGGTAATCGAGGCGAAATTAGGCCAACCTCCTAATAATCATGGGTTCCCGTCCCTTTCATCATTTTTCATCATTCTTCCCTTCCCTTAATTCTATTGTTGGAAATTGTAAATTATCCGTAAGATCCCCAAAATAAAATTCCGAGAAAGTTTAAATAAATGGCCGAATTCCTTTTGTTTTTTTTCTCTTCTACAATTTTTAATCTTTTTTCTATGTTTTAATTTCATTGCCGGGAACATAAAATAACAAGGGTCTTCCCCCTCGAATTAAATGCCGTAAAAAATAAAGAAATTAAGGGATATTATGTTTTTCCCTTCTCCCCTACTGGTCGTAATCCCTCTTCCCCATCTTTAATTAAGGTACTAAAATAGACAAAAATTTGAGGCCTCATTTCGGCCCTGGTTGTATGCCACCAAAAAGGTGGCTGCGAGGTCAGTTCCCGCGATACCTCTCCGCGGCAGGCCAATCCGGGTCTACTCCTCTGAACGGCCGGAAAAGACAGTCCGTTGATGTGCCGAGCGCGACCACCCATCTTGCTATCTTTGAAGATTACCCGTAAGGTTCATTGCGCCCAAAATCAAGGGCGCCCTGAGCTCCCCTAATTTTCGTTGCCCGGTCTATTAACTGTACCGTCAAAACTCAGACTCGTCTCTGCGCCTAAGTCCCAAAACTGCAGATCTCAGGCGGCGCACTGTTTGCGGCCGCCTGACAGTTAGCCCGGACCACTTCTCGACGCCCCCGTCGAGCCCTAGCAACTTACGTCAGACGAAGCGGACGAGCTTCCGGGTGATAGCTCGTAAAGGACGTCCACGTCGGCGTTCAATTGTCTTATGTTTCAGTTTGTCATGAGTCCTGGGGCTAAGAAGATGCTTCTTGACTCTCCTGTTTCTTCTGGTTTTTGGTCCCGGCACGATCCTCTTTTTCTTCTGTCTCTGCTTCGAGGAGGGTGTCGACCCGCCAATACGTCTAACCCGAAGTCTCCGTCTGACTCGCTTGAGTACGAATAACCATCTCTGCTCTCTTCCTAAAGCTAACCCTTTGACYTTTCTCTTCTCTATTCTTTTCCTTTTCTTGGAACTCCCCCCTGCCTCGAATTGCCTCAAGGGGGCTCCATCCTCCATTATGGCTTTTCCTTTCCCTTTCGGGCGGGTTAGCGATAAGGCGGGCGCGGGTCTGGGCCTAAACAACTTTAACCTAGCACCCGCCACTGGGTTCTTCCACTTAGATCCGTCTAATTCTGCTATCATATATGCACCCCAGTCGAGTGCCTCAACCACTCTGTAAGGTCCCATCCATCTGTTGGCGAGCTTTCCGGTCCAGGTCCTCTCCARCGCTGCATCGTAGAGAAGGACCATATCTCCTACGCTCACCCTCTCTTTCCTGATTCACACGTTCTTATCCCATCTCTCTTTACCCTTGTCCCTTTCCACTACCAGACGATCTGCCGCTGTCATGAGGTCATCTTCCAAACCGTAGGCTATTTGTCTCATTTGGGCAGCTAAGAGTCTCTCCTTGGACATCTCCTCCACCCAGTCGATGGTTGTCCAGCTGTCGACGTAAAACTCTATGGGAAGCGGACAATGTCGTCCAAACCACAAGGTGTACGGTGGGTATCCGGTACTAGCCCGGACTGTGACGTTGTCCGCCCATATTGCGTATCGAAAATATCGTGGCCAATCACTGTCCTTACCCTTGCACCACTTGGACAGTGACGCTATCAGAGTCTAGTGTTCCCTCTCTACTGGGGAGTTCGACTGTGGGTGATAGGCGGTAGCTATCCAAACTCTCGCACCGACTCTCCTAAACACATTATGAACCTCGTCAGCTAGGAATTTCGCCCCTCTGTCCATCACTATCTTGCTGACACAAACATACCTAGATAAGTATTCTAGGACAAAGTTCTTTACTTCCTCTGCCGCCTTACTCCTGATAGGTCTACCGTCCACGAACCCAGTGAAATCGTCTCGTATGTTCACGACGTAGTTCATATTGCCTACCCCTCTCGGCATTTTCACTAGATCGATGTGTACCTTCTCTTTCTGGTCTGGTCGGATATGATGGATGAAGTGACTCTTTGTATTTCACAAGAGCTCTCTTCTGGCACTCTTCGCATGTCATACAGTACCTCTCGACGTCCTTATACTGCCCTTCCCACCAGTACAGTCGGCGTATCTTTTCGTAGGTTCCCTTAACTCCCCTGTGTCCTCCGACTACCACGTCGTGAAGTTCCGCAACTATCGTCTGTCTCTCCTCAGGATCGCAGACTACTCGTAATGGCATTCCCGACCCTACTGGCCTTCGGAAAAGGTGGCCCGCTCTAAGGTAGTACTGGGCTGCTTGCCTCCGGATTTCTGAATCTTGACTCTCCTCTCCCGTCAGGTGTAGTCCGATCATTCGGTACTTGCCCTCGTAAAGATTAACTAGAAATCTCTCGGCGCGCCTCGGCTCTGCCATTGTCAGAGCCCCAGCTACTATCGGACGCTCGAGAGGGATGCGTGAAAGTCCATCTGCCATAGCATTTTTAGTACCAGATACTCTCTCAACCGTGTAATCGTATAGCCGAATAACCATCGGGCGATGGTCAGGTCCATCAGACTAAAGTCCTTCTGGAGGACAGAGGCAACCACGGTGGGGTCTACTCTCAAGATGAACCGTCGCCCATAGATATAGTGTCTGAACGTGTCTAGACACCGGAGAACAGCTAACACTTCCTTCTTGAATTGACTGTAGTTACACTCAGTCGTATTAAGTGTCCTACTCTCAAATCTTAACGGTCTTTCCTTCCCTCCAGCGTCCTTCTAAGACAGCAAACCACCCACTGAACATGGTCCAGCATCCGTGGATACTATGAAGGGTCTCTCGGTCTCATCGTCAAAGAATGGCACGCCCAACACGCGTCCTCCCTCCTTAAATTCGTCTTTAAGTTCTTGCATAGCGAGTTCCTGTGAAGAGCCCCAGTAAAACTTTTCATTCTTTCGAAGGAGTAACCTCAATGGCTCAGCCTTCTCCGCATACCCCCATATGAATATACGCCAGTAACCGACCACTCCTAGAAACTGCCGAACCTCGGTAGGGCTATGCAACGGTGACGGCCAGTTGAGAAGTTTGTCTAACTTCGCTGGATCTGCTCGGCGTCCTCTCGAGTCACAGATAAAACCCAAGATCTTAATAGTCGAGACGGCCCATCGGCTCTTAGTTCCGCAGACTGTTAAATTCGCATCGTCTAGCTGCTCGAGTACCGCGCAAATATCTGTTAGGTGCTGCTGGACGAATCTTCTAACTCCAGGTACAACCTCTGTCTCATCCTTGTCTACGGACCCTTTTATAGGAAAATCATCCAGAAAAACTTCAACCTTATCAGGGATGAAGTCCTTGAGGACGGTTACCATGACTCTCTGAAAAATGGCTATGCCATTAGTCCAACCCATAGGGACAACCATCATTTGAATTAGTTCCAATGGCGTATGCATAGCCGTGAGGTGTCTGTCCCTAGGGTCAAGCGGTACCTCATCATAGCCTGAAAACAGATTACAGACCGAATAGATCGACCTACCTGCTGCGCCTTCTGCCAGTAAATCGGCGTGYGGCACGGAGCCCACGTCTCGTATCATCACCGCGTTGACCTTCTGAAGGTCCTGGATCCATCGGATCTTGCCATTCGGCTTTCGTAGGAAGAACCATCGATTTGCATAAGCGCTATCAGACGGCTCCGCAACGTGGGAAACTATCTTCTCTTTAAGGAAAGCGATAACTTCTTCCTTCTCCTTCTGGCGTATTTTCATCCCGCGTCGTTCCAAGGAACATGTGGTATCGTGTAAATCCTTGCTGGCTTAGCGTATCGAGGGTCAATCCTACCGCGCTCCGCGTCGCTGAAAGCTATTGCCTTATCACATGTCTTCAGAATTTCTATCACACGTCCTCGCTCCTGTGGGGTCAGATTTCCATCTTCGATGTCCATCCCTGCTATTCTCTCTTCCGTTAGGCGTTGTGGCTCCTTTTTTTTTCTTTTTTTGATTTCTTTCGTGATCTCTTCTTCTGATACCCCTTCCAGTGTCGATCGCTCGTGGCCCACCGCCGCTGGCTTAACTTTTTGAGCTACTCGCTTGTGTCGCTTGGGTAGCCCCCCATAGGGAGCCGTGCCCTTAACAAAGACACGGATACCACACCGCCAAATTCCTCATCTTTTTTCTTCGGGTACGAGTTGCCGTCCACTATTAGCCGGCTTCCTAAATCTTCCACCTCCACGATCCGACCTTCTTCCTCTGTGAGCAGTGGTCCATATCTCTTCTCGCGAAATCGCACCGCGAGGCCGGAGATGGGTAACGACTTAATCTGATCACTGGGTCTTGCACCCACAGCGAGAGCTGCTCTGTTCCTCGGGTCCCGAGATTGCACTGTCTCAATCATCACCTGTGTCCCGTCTGGCTTCCTAATGGACAATGTTTGGCTCCCATCATGTCGCTCTATTGTCACCGCATGCACGTGGCTCAGCCACGTTCGACCCAAGAGCAGGTCGGAGGTACAGTTCTTGACTGCAAAGACAGGCAGGGTCACTGTTACCCCTTGGACCTCTATGGTTGCCTTGTGACAAATCCCAGTGATATGTTGCTTTCTCCCATCAGCCGTCTCTATCTCAAATAGGTATGACCTATCGAGGCCCAGTCCAACTTGTACTGCCAGGTCCTCGTCTATGATGACAGCCTCACTGCCGTTATCAATCACAGCATCGAGTATCGCTCCATCGTTTATAATCGTCTCTACGGCCCCGCTACCAAGTATATAAAACTTGTCTGGAGGCACACCTTCTATCCCATCGAGAAAGACTGTCGCCATGCGATACGCTCTGGCAGTCACCCCCGTTACCGCTACTGTAGAAGCTTCCGCTTTAGGGGCCCCCTGACCCTCCTCTGATAGAGGTATGCGAGTCTTCCGCATGATCATCTGTAATTCATCACGAGCCGGCTTCGATGCCGCCAGGTACTCCAGAATAGAGCACTGCATTGGTTGCCGAWGGGCCCGCCTCAGTGGCTCAACCGTGTCAATCTCGTCCAACGAACTCTTCATTAAGAACTTCTTCACTCCCCTCTTTCGCGGCGAAAGGATAACCTCCTCTCTATCCACCCGCTGCCCATCCTTCTCTGTCATCACGTAATCCATGTCAGTCTTCTTCGATGGAGACCCTCTTGCCGACTTGGTGGCCGCCACCCTTATGGGTGTGGTCGCGATATCCCCCTCAAAGATTATCTTGATGCACTGGCTCCTGACCGGCTTCATTCCTTTACTCGTCTTTATTCTCCTTGCTTCGACATTCTCCTTCATCGAAGGGAACATCGATACATCTCCCAGATCATCTGCCCACTTGACGTACTTGCGGTCGTCAAGCACGACAAGTCCCTCATCTATTGCCCGTTTGAGGTCCGGGCAATCCCTCTTGATATGATCTTCTCCTCTACAACAAACGCATGAGTTCCTAGGAGTAGATGCCCTGTCGTCTGCGCCTCTAGAGATCGAATTCCTGGCCGCCTTGGGGTCAGGCGACTTGGGATATGGTTCTGATGAGACGCCATATCCCCCTCTCTCATTCCGACAGCGCGAATCGTTGCGTCGGTCTCCTCCAGACCCTCCTTGCTCATACCGCCCTCGCGAATCATTCCGGCGGTCCCCCGAGTCATATCGTCCTCGTGTCTCATCGCGTCGGTCCCCTCGGTTGTACCATCCCCGCGACTCGTCGCGCTGCTCTCTCGCATCTCCCCCGCGCTCAAACCGTCCGCGCGACCCATCTTGTCGTTCCCAGTCCCGATCTCCTCTCTCATATTTACTCCCTCTGTAGCCATCTCGACCCGACCTCTCGTATTTGTCGTCCCTATATCCATCTCGGTCCGATCTCTCGTATCTGTCGTCCCTATATC